CTTACCTTTAATTCTAACCTCTCTTCTTCCTCTCCTGTCTTTCTTATCTTTCTCCATTTCTGAGTTTCTATGCTTCATCCTCTGGTGAGTAATAAACGAACAGGACTGCCTTTCATGTGTTTAGGCTCAGATCAGTTTGATGTTTGGAGGCTGGAAGTATTTGTATTTGTACTTTTACTTCCCGCCTCAGTCTACAGGTTGGTGTCACTGTGAAACAAAACTGGATTTTGCACTTGTTTCTTGTGTTGGCCATATACTGTTCTATATCGTCACTCACTCCGTCTGCACTTGTTTCAGTTTCAGGTGACTTCTCTGATACTTTTTTATCATGTTGCTTTGAAAACTCCAAGCTCTGCTGCTAATTTGCATACAGTTTATTCAAATGTTAGTGATGGGGGATGGCATGTAATTAATTAATCAAATTTGATTACTAAAACAGAATAAATGAGATAATTGTTGTCAGACATTCTGTTTATAATAACGCTCTCACTTTGCCTTTTAGTCCTCACTCCCAGGCTGCCACATGTCTCAATTCATATTCATGTATTTATTTTTTTCAGCTGAATTATGATTAAAGTTCATTAAATCCATTAGAGTGATAAACTCTGTGTGTAAAGTACATGATAGCATCACACAGTTGCTGCAAATTTGCTGGTTGCACATCCATGCTGCGAATCTCCACTTTGGCCACTGTGGAGGCCATTTGAGGAAAGTGAATTCACTGGCAAGTTTGAGAAACCAGTTTGAGATTATCTGACGTTGCATATCATCCTTAAGCAGAAGTTGAGACTCGTCAGACCAGGCAACGGTTTTCCAATCTTCTGTCTCAGCTTCCTGTCCTTTGCTAGCAGGACGGTCACCCGGTGTGGTGTTCTGCTGCTGTAGTTAATCTGCTTCAAGGTTTGATGTGTTGTGCACACAGAGATGCTATAACCAGTTGGTTATTTGAGTTACTGTTGTCTTCTTAGGAAACAGTAACTCATATGACCCTGGAGCGAGTTGTGTGGGAAATTCCCAGTAGCAGTTTCTGAAATAACCAGCACAACTACAACCACAACACGTCCACTTAAATCACATTTTCTTCCCCCTCAGATCCTCAGTTGAAGTTCAGCAGGTCATCCAAACCACGTCTGGATGACTAAATCCATTCAGTTGCTGTGATGTGGTAGGCTGATTAAATACTTGTGTTAACAAGCAGTTGAACAGCTGTACCTAACAAAGTGGCTGTCGAGAGCGTATAAATAATCCCAGTGTTTATATGAAATGTTCCTCTGAGTTGTGCTGCCTCGAGCTGCTTAAATAAGAAGATTTTAAAAAGTATTGGCTCAGATAATAAGCGGTTCACTGTGCTTGTTAAGACAAATAATCAGTGTTGAAGACTGGGTGGTAATTATCACCTTCTGGATTATATCTGTTAAGAACACAATCTACGGTAACTGTAATCTAATTAGATAGACGAAAACAAAAACGATTTCCAACAATATCAAGTCAGCACGACACAAAAGTCACACACTCGCTGTGGAGCTCTGAGTCACAGACAGATTATCTGAGTGGCCTGATTTTGTCAAAGTCGGCTCTGTCCATTAAGCAGAACTCAGACACACAGCTCTGACATTATTATAAAGCACGGCTGATAACGCCGTTTAAAATTGTGGCCAATTCAGGCGTGGAAACCCCAATCAGGCTGAACCCTCCTCGCTCTCTTCCAGGACGTGATTAATCTTAACCTGGATGGCAGTGCTTAATTAAATATTGAGGCAGCTTAAATGGCTGCGCTGTCGCTTTGTTTTATCGGTCACTTCCTAAGATGACAGTCCCATCTTTTCCCTCGCTCCTCTGCATCTGGAGACAACACACTTCTGCTCTTATCTGAAGCACTGGCTCTATCAGGTAGACACAATGTACTTTAGGAAGTAAAATAATGCGAGCACAGCTGCACGCACGGCTCTGTGGAACATTTCATTAGAGGGTAAAAAGCTGGTGAGTGCTGGAATGAATTTAGACATTCAGGTACTAGGAGTTATGAAGCACATCTCATCAGATCTATCTGACATGAATGAATGCATTAAAGAAATCCTCTTTTTGTGGCGCTGGGTGAAAGCTCAGCCCTTTCAGCAGAAAAATTCAGATGGAGTCTGGGATTACAAAAGCAGGCAGTCTACTGTGAGGTTATAATCTGCGCTGTCTCTCCCCTGCTGTCCCTTATCTCTGGCTGCCTTTATCCTTTATTCAACTGGGACAGGTAAAAGCAAAGTCAGATTGCTCACTGACAGCCTGAAGATGAGAAAACTCTTCTAAATGGGGAAATGTTCTCAAAGGAAAAAGTCTGGGAAATATTTACTTTGTTGCTGTGTGGTAACAATGAGAAGACTGATACTAGGTAAAAAGCATACCACCAAGTTTGGACACGCACACACAGCCAGACTAGGTCCTGAAAGAGCAAAATCCTTCATCCCTAAAGCTAACCAATTAACCCGTGGTATACTGTTTAATCCTTACATAAACAAACAATTTGCCACTGAGCATTAACTAACCCTCTCAGTCTCCTGGCAACTGCTAGGCGGGAGATATGCTTCAGTTTTCTGTATGGATTAAAGATACATGGTGCACTGTTCATTTTGCATAGAGCACACATGAAGGTTCATGCTGTTTTTAAACTGTCCAAGATGTTAGGCTAAACTAAGGCCAGGACAACCTATCTGCAGACAAGAAAACAAAGCAGGTGGTTATAGACCAGGAGCAGCCATCTACAGATAGCCCCAAGCCCCAGCATTGTATGAAGTTATGCTAGCCCTCCTGTTAAGGACATGTTTTTACCCTTTAAATTAAACGAGGTACATATCATGTGGTATTGCAGGTAGATACCTACCTACTTGCGATGGCCTTAATGTTATCCAGTCTGTATGCAAAGCTCAGTGTAGCCTTAAACTTGTTGGCTTAAACTAAAGCCTGAAATTGGCTGTTAAACTGTGGGATGCTCCCCAGCCGAGCCACTAGGGGCCTTGGAGACTGACTGGAAAATAAAGGGATCATGTCTGAAGGAGACCCATTGCAGAAGCCTGGGTTCAAATCTGCTAATCTTGAAATTATTTTATTGCACCAGAAAAGGTTTAAGAACGATTACCAAGTTAAGACAAGTGTCTAGTCTGTAAGCTAGCCTAAGCTAACTACAGCCTTTTTTTTTACCCAGTCTGAATTTCTACAAACCTTAAACCTTCACTTTGCTGTCGCTATGCTAAATCATCTATTTTTACAAGGACTAAGCTAATTAACATTAACAATTAAAGTTTTTTCATGAGGCTTTATTTCAATTAACTTTCCTAACAAAAACATGACCTACGACTGGTCTTTGGTAGGCCTGTGGTGCTCTTTCAAAGATTTTGTTTGGAGCTCATAATGTTGCATTCCTAGGGACGATGATGAAATTAACATAAAATATACAAAAATAAAAAAATTTGGGATTTATAATAAAGTTGGGGGAAAAAGAAGCTAAGTTTACATGTTTTCAGGTGTCTCCATTGCATAAAAGCTGCATGTATAGAAGCACCAGTGAAACCTGGAAGCCATGTTTCTACCACCTTCTTTGCTGTTGTTGAAATCTCCCATATATTAAATTTCAGACCTCTTTGAGTCTCTCAATTATAACATGTCTGGGTAGACTAATCAAAAAGACTTCTGTCTTTTTGTAAGCCTCTGCTGCTCAAATGTTAGTTTCCAACAAAAACATTAAAAACAAGTAAATCAAGACTAAAACAATTATTGTACAATTCTGGGTTAAAACAATGTTTCTGTTCTGCCTTTTGTTCCCTGTTTTTATAAAATTGCTTTGCGAAATTGAAGTAAAAAAATCTGCTACCTTAATTTTTCCAATCTCTTAGCTTGATATTTACTAACACTACCAGCTAGTTTGTAGTTATGTCATGCTTTGTGTAATGAAACACAGGCAGTGCCAGATGTGTCTGCCAGTCAGATTAAAGCTTTATGAGGATTAAACGGACTCTACAGTGCCTACTGCCCTCCAACACAGATAACACAATCAGCTGCAGCCACACACTCTTGTTTCTCAGATGCATTTCTTGCTGCATGTTAAGTGATTTCTCTGAATATGCACAAGTTTGTTCAGTTTGGTCATCGACCTGCAGGGGCACAGAGCTGAAGCTCCAGAGGACCCTGACTCAAACAGCTTATCTATGATGTTTGCGATTCTGGGAAAATCCATTAAAATCCCCTTTGTCTGGTTGAATAACTGAAATGCAGTGAGGTCACAGTTACACAGTTGGAAACAGATTATGAAAAAGGATGCTGGGCAGCTGTTAGATTTAAGTGCAAAATAAACTGAAATACTTTTTGAAAACTGCAAAATTGTGTTTTGGACCATGAAGATCTTTTGTGCACAGTCTTTCCTGCAGAGGAAAATTCCCGAATGAGGAAGAAAATCATCAGGATTGCAATAAAAAAAAAACTATTTTAGTCAGTTTTTAACTTTGCAGGTCATTTGTTTCACCCGAAAAATAAAATCAGAAGTAGCAGAAGAGCATCACCTAGTGGCCATTTCTGATTACTGCGTCATGTTGACTCAATGAAGATTGAATCAATACGATTTGGGGAGGTTTTTAGGAAAAATAACAAGTTTGCTGATCAAGTTTTATAACCTTAAATGCAAACTTGGGTTTTTTTTTTTTGTTTTTTTTACAACTGATAAAAACTGTGCAGTGACAGAACTGATTTACATTTCTTAGCTTGTGAATGTGAGAAAAAAACAAACAAAAAAAAACAACAGGACATTATTTACAGGCCAGATGGATCGCTTTCATTCTTATTAACTCTTAGCAAAACCCCGTTTTTAAATAGAGAACATGACCCGTTTCTCAAATAAAAACAAAAAAAAAAACTATTTATAACAAGTCAACAGACAGGAATGACAATACTTAGAGGATTTTTTTTATTTGTTTCCAAAATCACAAAAACTTTTATTTTTTTTTTTTTTTAGATTTGATTCCTTTCTTGAGCCGTACTTTCACGTCGCTGTGGTTTGCAGATGGTGCAAAAAAGAAACATTTCATTTTACAGCTAGTGTCAGATCCTACATTTGATTACACCTAAACTCAATGTGCTCAACATAAAAGATAAAAACTTTTTTAAAAAGCTGTGTAGGTCTGTACCTTGGTGCAAGTGAGCATAACAGCTTAGAGATCTGCAAGGAGTGTGATAAATACAGAAAGAATATTCACACATGTCCAGAAAAACGAGACAAAATTATTTTTAAACAACCTCAATTATTTATTTGGGAATGAATCCATGAATACAAAAACATTGCGTTTGACTGACAGTGCTGAACCACAGGAAGTATTTACAAATGCGTTATCTACAAAAGAAAAAAAGGGAGGAAAAACGAAAAGGAAATATGACATTTTAAATCTGCTTTCCCAAAAACGGGCAAAAATAGAGAGCGACTCTAATTTAGATTGAGCAAGTGCTGACATTTACACTGGGGATGTCTGGACCAGAGCCAGGTGCTGAGGCTTCACTGCATCACGCAGATGGCACCATTCATACAGCTGACAGCTGGCTGCTTATAAAAGGCCGACCTTCCACCGCGGACAGCAGATCAGAAACCTCGGGGCAGAGTGATCGACCGCCATGAGATCACTTCAGTGCTTCAATCACTCGGGACAAGTCGCAGTCGTCTCGCTTTTCTCTATTCTCCCTTTTTGGTCTGTTAGAAACACCTTAAGAAGCCTCCTCATCAATCTTCGGTGCCAGGTAGTATTTGATGTGCCCCATGTCAGCAATCTTGTACTCCACCACTGTAGGGAGAAAAACAAAACAAACAGTCAAGTCTAGGCCACGACACACCAAACGAAGAATCCTGCAGTCATTTGAGGGAAGAGCAGATGCACGTACCCAGGGGGATATCAGCGGACATGCTGAGAGTGACGGTCTTGGAGAGTGGCGTGGCCTTGGTGAAGAAGTTCAGGTAGTTGAGGGCAAAGATCAGCTGGACGGGTTCATTCATCTCAATCGTAACCTAAACACAGGAAGGGAAGAGCCGAGAACTTAACAGGTGCTGCCACACTCACTCAGATCACCAGATCATAGAGTAAATAAGGAGCTCTAAAGTAAAGGCCTTAATTGCTGTCTCAGCATTAAGATGGCAACAAATATTTAAGAATACTTGATTTATTTAAAATTTTTTTAAAAAGTTGGTCTTAAATCTGCTGGTAACTAATTGATGCCTTTAAATAAACAGTCATGAATTGATGACACTGAAACATCTGCAGAGCTTTCAACCTCCACCTGTACTCTGTACAAACAGCAAAAGTCACTTCTTGGTAGAAACTTAAACTGATCCAGTCATAGGTCAGTATTTCTCCCTTTTTATTTTATTGCGTTTTTACTGTTGAACAGCTTGTGAGTGCATTACTGCCACCTTCTGGCAGTAATAGCACATTACACCAGGTGCCAGTTAAAACGGAGCACAAAATGCATATTTAAACCATCACATTTTAATTATTTCACATGTAAATTTTATGCAATTGTCTTGCCCATGTCTGCCAAAACATGCTGAGCTCTCATACTCACAGCCTCGTCCTCTTTGTCCACATTGCTGGTCTGGGATAGCTTGATGTTTCCTGTGCCCAGCTCGCCTGAGGCGGAGAACTTGACTCCATCCTTGGCGCAGGAGATCATGACGGCGTCGCCGATCTGTGAAAGGTCACGGCAGATGCGAGCGAACTCCCCGGAGGGCATCTTCACCACACAGCTGTATTCCTGCTCCTGGAGGGACAGACAGACATGGAAAGGTTAGCAACCGTGTGAGGAAAACCCTGCCGTACACAAATTGAGGATGTAACAGCTGACTTACCGGAATACCAAGCTGCTCCACATCCAGGTCCATCAGTTTCATCTCATAATCTGACACCTTCTCCTGGTCTGCAAGATTGAAGAGAAGCGGTAAATACACCACCGTGACACCACCAGTCAGACTGATGTTACTGAATAAACATAGAATTCAAACTTACTGAGAGTCTCAAAGACGAGGGCGAGTGTGTCTGCATTGTCTTCTGCTCTGAGGGTGATGATATCCTCATTTCCGGCACACTTCAAGATTTTTGACATACTGGATAAGAGGTAAAAAAAAAAAAAATCAGTAAACTTTAGTCTCGCTGCATTATAAAATACAACAAAACTAAATAAATAACTAATATAACCACGTCATTCACACAATAAATCAAATCCTTTCCGCAAAATATAATTGAAAATTTCAACAAGTAGTCAGTAGTTAAATAAATATATCATTCAGTCTGTTCTCTTTTTTAAAGAAAGACCTGCAGCGACAACAGGCTAAACAATAAAACAGTTTAAAATAAATATTACTAACAGTCTAATTTGCCGGTTAAAAAGCGTTGTAAACAGCTAAACAGGCAGTGACGTAGGAACGGAAGTGGTATTTCCCGGGTTCAACAACAATTCCCGCCAACCATCCCGGCGCACAGTTTGGCGCTAAAACGCTGTCACCGCGCAATCACAAAGCAGCGGAACTCTCTCAAACTGCTCCAATCGTAATTTAAACTTTAAAATGTTTTTGCCCCCTTAACAACATCTAATATACAAAGCGCGCCATTTCAGAGCGGTCACTAAAGAGTTAACTAAGTTCAGGAGGCAGACATGCCCGGGCAACTCCGCCAAGATGGCCTTGTTCTTTGTCAGCATCAGAAGCTGCATTAAGATGTAATAAAGTGCGCTTAAAAGGGGCTAAAAGCGATCGTGAGACTCAAAAATAGTAACCGCGTCACAAACCAAGCAGCCATTTTTTTCGTGTTATTAGACTCGATAAACTTTGACAACTCAACCTGTCAACCTGGGGACATTAGTCAGCAGAAACTCCTCTTAGCTAAGCCCCATCAAGAACAGCAACGGGCTGGCATCAAACGGTGTTAAGACAGTATTTTCTACCTATAAGCTCTATTTTTTTATGTTTGGCATATGTGCTCCACCTGCTCAGGTTGACTCCCATGGCGAGGTTCCTATCGCAGCGGTACGAGTCGAAGCCATCGTGCCGAAGAGTGAGCTGCACCAGTGAGACATGAGAGGAGTCCATGCTCTGCAGGGAGATGCCGGACGAGCTGACGTCCCAGCAGGCTTCTGTGATCAGATCCTTCAGAGCCTCCAGCACCTTCTTCAGGATGGAGCCCTGGACCAGGCGAGCCTCGAACATGGTTGCTGTGGAGTTTTATGTCTGCGCAGATGAAAAGATGAGAAAGGCTTCTCTGAGAGCTCAGGTTTTGTGTTGCTGGCGAGCACAGACACGGCACGTGATTACCACTTTCACGGTACAGAGGAGTTTAAGCTGGAAGCGCGCGCTAACAGCCAGTTTTAATGATTCGGGGGCGCGATTGCGTCATTTCCGTTTCCTTGTCGACGCCACAACCGCTTAAAAGAGTGGGCGATTATTTCAGCCATGTTGGAGAGGACAATTTTGTAACCTGGACAAATCATACAGAATATTATACAACACTGTACAGCAGGGGTGTCAAACATAGGGCACGGGGGGCCAGAATCGACCTAGCAAAAACTCAAATCTGGCCTACTGGACAATTTTGGAAAATGTGGGCATCACGTTTTGGAATTTTTTTCAGACGTTTTACAGGCTTTTAGTACCGATAAAGACCTTTCCCATAGCCATTCATACAACACCAAAAAGAGAGCAGACTTATGGTTACGAATAGGCAAATCAAAGGACCAGATGGGATGGCATCGAACACTATTGAGAATTCTTTAGGCGTTATCGGTACATTGTATCTCCTGAGGAACTCAGAGTAATTATAAAAGAGTCCATCTTCTCTAAATAACTGACTAACCAAGATTATTCCATTATTAAACCAGTTATTTAAAAAAAGAGTTTTATTTTTATAAATAATATTGCAGTTATTCCAAATAAAACAGTTTTGTGGAGAGAAATTGTGTTTGTAAATCAGCGCCCATGCCAAAAGAATTTGTTGATGAAAGTGAGAAAGTTTCAGTGGTATTTTTGGAATACTATAATTGCAGAGCAGTAGGAAGTTAAGGCCGCCTAAATTAGAGAACACATGATGTGAGATAAAGTTCCAGATAGAAGTGGGATTTTTTAAATACTTTTTAATCCAGTTTATTTTAAAGGTGTTGTTAAGAGCACCGAAATCAATAAAATTTATACCTCCTTTATCATATGAATTTAAAGCTACTGATTTACGCAAGTAGTGAGTTTTATTTTTCCATAAAAAATTGTATAATAATTTGTTAATTGACTTACAGGTTGTATTATCAACATGTAGTGACTGGGCAGCATAGGTTAGACGGGAGATACCTTCAGCCTTCGATAGCAGAACTCTACCCTTCAATGACAGGTCTCGCTGTAGCCAATGATTAAAGATTTTTTGGGATTTATCTATAATAGGAATGAAGTTTGTGGAGCATCTGGATTGCTCATTTTTTATTATTTGAATTCCAAGGTATCTTACAGAGTTTCTTACAGGTATTCCATGAATTGAAGTTGCTAAACAACTTTTAACTGGTAAAAGTTCACATTTATGCAGGTTGAGTGAAAGTCCGGAGGCTTTAGAGAATGGCTGTATATTGTTAATGGCCACTGAAACTTGCGAGGCGTCTCTGAGGAAGAGAGCTGTATCGTCTGCCAGCTGACTTATGAGTATTTCTCTGTTAGCAATGACCAGGCCTTTTAAAGCACTGAGTTTGATATGCGAATTAAGGAGTTGCACAGAAAGAAGGAATAAATATACGGATAGGGGGCAACCCTGCCTCACTCCACGCTTTAGAGAAAATCTTGGGGAAGTACCAGTGGCAAGCTTTATGGAGCTGTTACTGTTGGAATACAGTGTCCGAACGGAATTACAGAAGGACTGACCAAACCCAAATTTATTTAAAGCAGTAAAAATAAACTCATGCTCTAAGGAGTCGAACGCCTTGTAGAAATCTAAAAAAAGAATAAGACTATCATCCTGTACAAGTTCTGGGTAATCTATTATGTCTAGAATTAATCTTATGTTGTTTGAGATATGACGATTCCGCATGAAACCAGACTGACTCTCATCAATAACTTTATCTAATACAGGTTTCATTCTATTAGCCAGAATTTGTGCCAATATCTTATAATCATTATTCAGCAAAGAGATTGGTCGCCAATTGTCTAAGAGCAAAGGATCCTTTCCTGGTTTTGGAATGAGGGTGATCAAACCTTGACATAAAGTGGGAGGGAGTGCACCTCTATCCATACTTTCCTTAAAAACTTCTAAAAGAAACGGGGCTAAACTGTCAGCGAACTGTTTGTAAAACTCGGCAGTAAGGCCGTCAGTTCCAGGTGATTTGTTAATCTTTAGATGTTTTATAGCATCTGCAACCTCAATCAAAGAAATCGATCTGTCGCAAAGCTGACTATCCTCCTCATTCAGCTGAGTGATTTTGTCTAAAGAATTTAAAAAAGTCAGACAAGCTTCAGGGCAATAACTAGAAGAATAAAGTTTGCAATAAAAATTTGAACAATATTTTGCTATGGTATCCTTATCATTAGAAATTGTCCCATTAATATTTAGTTGTAGGATGGAGTTGGTGTTAGATTGATGCTTTTCAAGTCTGAAAAAATAGGCTGAATTCTGCTCTCCTTCTTCGAGCCATTTCCTGCGAGACCGAATAAATGCTCCGTCAGCTTTGCGTTTGTAAATCTCATCTAACTTATGCTGCAGGTCAACCAGTTTTATCTTATCAGTCACAATCTGTCGGTTGTTCAGTCTGACGTCACTAGCCGTGTCTGGGTCTAAACTCCGCTGCAGGTCCATATATCAAACGATCACTGTGGCATTACTGAGAGTTAAAAACTGTCTAAAGTCTTTCATCTTTAATAAAATGATCAGCGTTCTGCTCTACCAGGTGTAACAATTGAGTTTAACATCCAGGCATCCATGAAAACGGAATTTAAATTTAACGGAGTTAGAAGTTAGCAGGGAGTTAGCTCGCTAGCTTCTATCTAAATACAATATAGCATGTCCTGACTGGGGGTTTTGGAAACAAATTAAAACGTACAGCTCTGTTATCACTTCCAACATAAATGAAGACAGAAAACTAAACAGCAGTGACGTTTGTAGGGTTACTGAAGTTTGGCTAGCTGGTATATAATGATGTGCTACGTGACCGCTAGCGACACAGCTATGTTAGCATAATATAAACAAGCTAACTTTTTTTCCACTCGATAAAAGTTAACGTGAGTGTTCTCGGTGGTCAGGAACAAATGTAATCGCATGGCAGGATGCTGTAAAAGGACCAAACTTCAGCCAGGAGAACAACTGAGATAATCCATCCACAATACGAGGTTAGTCATTCATATACTGCTGCATGGGCTGGGCTGTAGTTACATCCTAAGGTTTTAAAAACTGAGCTTAAATAAATGATTAGCGGTAATAAAAGCCGAGGGAGGTCAACAGTGATCACTGACTGTTTTAGGAGCTTTTTGAGATCAAATAGAAGAAAATACATAACATTAAACATGTTAACAACACAAAAGCCATATTAAACGCAGACTACTTTAGGCCCGGAAGTAGGATTCGTCGCGTCATCACTGAACAACCGGATTTTAAAGGACAGACACATTCATACCTAGTGGCAATTTGGATTATCCAATTAACCTATCCCCACAAGCTGCATGTCTTTGGACGGTGGGAGGAAGCCGGAGTACCCGGAGGGAACAAGAACTTTTATGGTATTTATTCATGTATTTCTTAATTAA